TTCAGTCAGACCTTTCAACTTCGTGAGATCTTTTTCTCCCCCGAGAAGTAGGAGGGTCTGACTGATTTTTTTTTTAAACTGGTAGTCATGTGGTCTTCTTTTGTTGCCCTGCACACAGGAAAACGGAGCTGGAAAGTAGGTTAGTGAAGAAATGGTGGTTGTTCTGGGATGGGGTGGAATTGAGGATTTTGCATTATGATTGCTCATAAGTAAGAACCAGTAAAAGAGGAATGGAAAAATCCCTATCTGTAGATCAGCGTTTTTCAGTCTTGGCAAGTTTAAATGGGCGAACTTCATGCTTCCTTGGGAATTCTGGGAATTGAAGTCCATGCACCTTAAAATTGCCAAAGTTGAGAAGCATGGGTCTACAGTAAAGCTTAGCATTTTCCATTCCTGCTTATTTAGAGTTTGGTTCAATTAAATAAATCAGTTGTGGTTTCCTTAACAAATAGTGATTAAAGTGATATGAGTTTCCAAGCATTCTTCTAGGAACATCCAACATGCAAACTCCGGTTACGCATCCTTTACCTGGAGCTTCAAAATTTGCTGTTTGCTGGGAAGATGTGTACTAAAAGTCAATCTACATTTAGTGTACATCTGACTTTGGGGGATGTTTCTTCATAACCAAACAAAAGTGTATTTTATGTGCAGTTCGCATCCCTTGCTCACTGGAACTGGATGTCACAAAGCAAAGTCTGCATTTTGTAATTAACCCCCATGCCCCATTTTGACTGGCAGAGCGCTGCAGTAGGCTGAGTGCTGTCACACACCCCTGGCCATGCCCCCTGGCCACACTCAGTCAGCCATGCCCAGCCAGCTATGCCCAGCCAGCCGGTCATTAGGGCAGAGAACCAGCTGTTAAACTATTTGAATCCCACCACTGAGTGAAATGTCTTCCTCAAGGAAAAAACAAAGTCCAGTTGCCTTTTGAAAAATTGCCTCTGAGTAACCATGATCTGGATGATTGAGAATTTCCATAACTTTACTTGACTTCATGCCCCTAGGCAAATGCTCTATAACAGAAGAGGGTGATTTAATGCCCTCTGGTTGTAATGGACTACAAAGTCCCACAATTCCTTACCATTGGCTTTGCTGCTTGAAATTGATGTAACAATGTATAAATTTGTACAATATAATTACTTAAATCATCTGGAGATTGTCTATCTGTTCTAAAAAAAAGTATATATTTAGGAAGAGCGGAAATTTTAGGGAGAATCTTTCCATCACACACAATACTGTAGATTGTGCTAGTTTTACATGAGTCTCTCTATTATGCATCTTTAAAAAAAATAGCAGAACTTCTTTTAATATGCAATGCTTTCATTGATTTTAGTACTACAGTACCTAAAGACAGACTTTTCAATCTTGCTCCTCTAGCTATAAAATTTGGTATTGAAATTGACCCTTGCCCAGTATTGATTTTTTAGGACATATCTTAGTTCAATTTCCCAACAACTCACCTTCACAAATGGCACACGGTTCTTATCCTCATGAACGGAGAGACTGGTCTTCGTCACTGTGGATGAAGAAGAAATGGGTCCAAAAGAGCTCAATGAATCCAAGGAAATATGTTTTATTTAAATTACCCGCTATCCTCACAATTGCCAAAATTCTTCCCAGGCCATTGATTTATTCTATCTCTTGGCTTGCTCTCCACCCCACATGATATTTCATACCCCTTGAAGATTGCTCACCATCTAGCAGGTCACGGATTTTGTCCAGGTAAATTTCAAAGTAAGAAACCTGGGTGGTAAAGGAATAAAGAAATGAAAGATGGGGAAGATGGGAATTATCTATGCTCTTGTCCTCAACGATACATGTCTTTCAATCAGCAAATACCTATGCACTTTCAGACATTCCAAACAGGTAACTTGAATCTTCCAAATTGGAACTCTTAAGCTTTTAGCCTTTTTATAACAAATACTATGGAGCAACAGGACCAAAAAGAACCCAAGTTTCTATTAATCTAGTGGGTTCCAACTATGGTGGAGTACAGTTCCCCTCAGTCCTAACTTGTAGATCTAGCATATCCTTAGTAGGACTGGCATAAGAGAATCTGCCAGTCAAAGACACAGGACCGCTGCCACCATCTGGTTGTTTTCTATGAAGAGCATGAACTGCATTAGTTGGTGCAAGAAAGCAAGTGGTGGGGCACCTGCCCAATGTTCTAAGAACCTTCTGGAGTTAAGGAATAGGACAGAATGCTTCTGGCAAATAAGTAACAAGCACTACCTATATCACTGGTCCCTCCTTGTATTGTTGTATGTCTCTGACCTTAATATGGAACTCCAGATTCTCATCCATGGAATAGATATGGTTGAAGATGTCTTGAGCAATGCGTGGGATGATGCCCATGAGCTGGGGATCATGCAGCTTGCCCTAGTGGAACAGAAGAATTGAAAGTAAGTTCAACAAGCCCTCCCAAATTCTTCAAATAACCTTGATTCTTGAAACCTAGGATCTATTTGCAGATGCTACTATCAGGCCAATGTTTTCTAGTTACAGATCAGCTTTTAAAATGTATATGTGAGAAACCTCCTCACCTCCATGGTGTGAGTCTTTCCAGAAGATGTCTGCCCATAGGCAAAGATGGTTCCATTGTACCCAGCCAGCACATCTGCAAAAAAAAGGGGGGGGGCAGGGGAAGATGAAGGACAAAAATAAACTTAACCATTTTTATAGGATCTTGTTTATTCTCTTTCTGCTGCCTACCCAGGCAATCCTATTAAGCACCTGCTATTCTACCAATGCCCATACTGACCTTTGACAATCTGCATGGCACAGGCATGATACACTTGTTCCTGTGTGGTGTTGGGTGGGAAGACCCGGTCAAAGACATAAGGCTTGCCCTGCAGAGGGACACAGAAAGATAACATAGAAGATTAGAATATCCAAATGTTTACATGAAGTATTCGGTGTATTATTCTTGAAAAACAGCTTAGAGGGTGTCAAGGTCTAATTAGTACAATATATCAGTAAGCATTTAGACACTGATCCAGTATTGTTTCATCCAAAGTCTGATACCTAGCTGGAGGATAGGGAGAGGGTGCGGGATCCTGAACTCACAGCTGTTACTTAAATAGGAGGTAGAGGCTATGATGGGTGGCATTTGCTCCACTTCAGATGTTGATACAATTATGATTCCATCTGGACTAAAGATGATGGTGTCATGACTTGACAACTAGTCATCTGGATTACTGTAATGAGAGCTCTAATGATGCAGATTTTGGAAATGACCCAGAAGCTACAACCGATCACCCCTGTCATAGCCAATACTGGTAGTCCTCAACTTACAACCACAATTAAGCTCAAAATTTATGTTGCGAAGTGAGAATTTGTTGTAAGTCTTGCCCCATTTTTGCCATAGTTGATAAGTGAAGCACTGCAGTTGTTAAGTTAGTAACATGGTTGTTAAGTGAACCTGGCTTCTCCATTGATTTTGCTTGACAGACGGTTACAAAAGATGACCACATGATCCCAGGACATTGCAACCGTCATAAATATGAGTCAGTTGCCAAGCAGCTAAATTTTGATCACGTGACCATGGGGATGCTGTAATGGTCATATCTGAAAAATGGTCATACGTCACTTTTTTCAGTGCCACTGTAAGTTGAGGACTGCCTGTATTATTTCTCTTGAGGTTATATAGCACTGGTACCTATAGGTTTCTTTTGAATTATAATTCCAAGTGCCAGTAACAACTCACAAAGCTCTATATGGCACAGCATCAGATTACGTTTCTCACAAGAGGAAAGCACAGAAAATGGCTTATTACCAGCCTGGATAAAAGAATTCTTCAAATCCTTGGAGAACTATATTTCTATCACCAGCCTAATGCTATTGTCACAACTTACTTTATGATTCTTACAAGATCTTAGAATGGTTTAAGTGCTGCTAGGATAGTTCACACATTCTGGGAAGCCCAGCCAAAGAATACTTGTTTCGGGAAATGTCCACTGAAAGATGATGTAGCAATTAGAACAGGGAGAAAATAAGGTTTTACTTTTCCATGAAGCTGAATACCTTGCTGACCATAAGTGCTTTTCATGTCTGGAGTTTTTATTTATTTATTTATTTGTTTGCCCAACTCAGTCAATGACTCTTGGTGGCTTACAATTCAAACAATACATCACAGTTTCTTTCCCAATCTATAGAAAGACTCTGTTTACATAATCCATTTAATCCAGTCAGCTGCCAACTTGATCAAAAGTAGTTTACTGGCTATTCTAGCAACACACAAATCATACTAAGTCCAAAGTTGCTATGTTATGTAACAGAAAATTCCTAGTCACTTTCTCCTGGAAGTGCCTGGTGTTCCATGAATTATTGTACTACGATGTACAAGGCAAAGCTTAATGCCTTAATGGTGGCTAGGCAGGCAGTAATACACTTTGGTTAGGAGCTGCAGCCAATCAAGTCATGCAAGGAATTCTGAAAACAGAGACACTTAAAAAAAACAACTCTATGTCTCCAACTCTATTTCTTGAAACATAGCTGGGAGGGCTTTATAAACTGCCCCAAATCTTTATTCATGTATGGTGTCCCCAAAGCATAGCTGATTAGGTGTTTGTAATTTTTTTAAAAGCCTGTGTTAAAATTAAACCACTCTTGCCCCATTATTAACCAAGTTATGGTATTCTCACAGTACCACTATTAGGGTTCTGTTTTTGGCAAAAGGAAAGACTTGGGCCACATGACATGATATATATCTGTGATGGAGAACCTATGGCACGCATGCCCCAGGCGGTGTGCATACCCCTCTGCAGGCATGCAAGCCATTTCCCCAGCTCAATTATACCACACATGCTGCATGCCTCCTACCAGCCAGCTGGTTTTTGGGTCTCTGCCGTGCATGTGCAGGATCAGGGTACATGCGGGAGATGCGCGTGCATGTGCAGTGGGGAGGGTCACATGGGGGGCACGTGTGCATGTGTGGGGCATGTGGAAGGGTGGGGGAGTGTTGGGGTCATGCGCATAAATGCAGGGGGCATGTGTGTGTGTTTCATGTGCGCATTGCATTATGGGTTGCATGCACATCTGCCTGCTGTTGCACACACACGACAACAAAAAGGTTAGCCATCGCTGATATATAGTAACAGTAACAGTATACAGAAGATAATGAGTTTCAGGGTAGACTGAGAATAAGGAGCTGTCCAAATGCTGATTCATTTAAATGTAGATTAGGTGGCTTTTTAAAGCCACTTTGCTGCATCACTACCAATTACAACTATACTATCAAAAAGCAACAATTAAGACAACAGGCATAAGATTGCTCCTGAAGTTAGGCACACTGCAGTATAATCTCTGCCTTGTGTAAATTTAAGCACAGCAATCACATGAGGAATCTTACAGGTAAGGTAGCAGTCACGTAGCACACTTAACTTGTAACTGAATCACACAATACAGGGAAGGATAAAGTAGCCAAAACAGGCTGGCTTTACACAACGTTTTAACCACAGATACAAAAGCTAAACAAGATTAAACCCAGCCAATTTAGCATGCTACGCCAATGCCTCTGCTTCTCTTTTTCTGACTTGTTAAAGCGTGTGTTATGTGAATGCCACGGAGGGTTATTCAGACACATTCAATCTACCGACCTGACACAATATAATATATGCCTCGGGAATATTCATGCATAGTTTCTCAAAAATAAGAGTGCCTGACCTGAAAGTCAATTAGACAGTTAGAAAATGATGAGGAAGCTGAACAGCACTGAAAAATATATTCAGTGGTTCGGTTTCAGCTTATTGGACTGCCTTATAGGGCCCTTGGGCACACAATCAGCTACCTATTTTATGTCCAGGCAGGTGTTTTTCCATCTGCAAATGTTATAGTGCCCACGTTTATCATCTGAAAGACATGCCCAGGACACAAAGCATGTTTTAGCCTGTCATTACTCAACTCATTGTAAGCCATTGGCCTCTACATATTTCACATAGTAGCTTATGCAGTTAATCTGGACCTGCTTCCTAATTTTATCACATTTATCACATTAACGTATAGTGAATTACTTCCAGCTGCTCTGTTTCTAAGGAAGGCACTCCTTAAATAAAATCTGATAAGTAAGATTGGGGAAGGGGATATTAGATGACACTGCTGTGATATTTCCTCTTAATATAACATTATATCGTCCTGCAATAGTCCAAGACTTCAGCCTGAAAAATCAAGGCAATTGCTAACATAAAGCAGGGATGCCCAAACTTTTAGGAAGTGGGCATATTTTTAATATTGGGAATTCGTCACAGACATATTCACAAGGTGACTGCCACGATGGGCATGGCCAATCACAATTCATTTGCCAGAATTATGAGCTTCTCCTAACTCTGTGATAGCGAACCTATGGCATGCGTGCCCAAAGTGGCACACAGAGCAATGTTAGCTGGCACACACGGCATCACCCGTTCCTCCTCCAGGTTTCTGCCGTGCATGCATGCATGATGATCAGCTTCTTTTTTGTGCATGCAGCAGTCCCGGAAACTAGAAGAGCTTGTTTTCAGGTTTCCGTTGTGCACATGCACGCCAGCCAGCTGATCATCGTGCACGTCAGTTACCAGAAGACAAGGTGGCCAGTGTGCAGGCGCTCGCTGGAAACCAGAAGTTCATTTCCCAGCGCATGTATGCCCACTTGGCTGCTTCTCTTCCGAGGTGAAAAGGTTCACCATCACTGTCCTAACCTTTCCCTCTAATCTCTCAGGATATTCCATGCTAACTAAACTCAATCTTTTAAACAATCTGATGCACCAGGAACCCTGGAAGTTCTAATGGAAGTTTGCTGAGGAGACACTAGTATTCCAGATACCATGCTGAAGAGCTACATGGACAGAAAAGTCATCCTACATCTCACTACCATAATTTTTAAAAAAATCTGCATTAACACTACTTATAGAGAGTACATATTTTATTTCAATTTCATTGTAAGTATCCCTATTTACAAAATATGTAGCTATAATTCTTCAGATACGAAAGATTCTCAACCTATGCAATTAATTGTGCACAACATTCATTTGAATGGGGTCCAGAATACCTTATCCCTCACAGGAATGTGACTTGTGCTTTGTGCCATTAAATGCTAATGATGACTGCTCTTGAAAGCGGCTGTAGGTTGCTCTACTGTTTTTAAGAGATTCTAGCTTAATAGGTTCCTTCAATTACCAGATATTTAGAATAACCAAATTATAGTTTGTTATTTATTGCAACAAAATTACAATAACCTTTTGCAAAAAAATATCTAAAAATATTGATGCTTGGTACAATTTACAGCACCAGTCAGCACTAACTGTTTTAGACCCTTATAATGTAGGTAACTTTAAGATATATTGGCCCTCCTGACTGAAAATTATGGTAATTTCCCCAAATTGGAAAATACCAATTTGGGGAATGATTGCATTAGGTTTTCTTTTTTATACATTCTTCAGTGACACATTTTACCATGGAAAATTTGTGTCATCGTTTGGTTAACTCCCTTATCAAAATGCTGCTTTTAATACTCAAGCTGCATACAAAATTGTTTGAAGAAAGGTGATGAATAAATTAATTCTTGCACGGTCAGGAATGTACAGCCTCAGTCCATTCCAGACTGTTACCAAAACAAAGAACAGATGGAAACGCTATTTTCTGTCCAAAACGATTATATTTAGCCCTTTCCAAAGAGAGGTTGGGGGGGGGGGAAAGGATGTTTATTATCATAAATAGAAATAACAAATGATACACAGCAGTTGCTGAAATCATTCAGTATGTATTCTTAGCTGTTCTATTATAAATTACTCATTAGAGATTCATGGATTCTTATATGCATGTTTAATTAGCTTCAGCCCAGCTTGCCAAAAAAAGACAGACTGATAGTTTCCAA